AGAATTTTTAAAAACTACCCCAAAATGTCATGTTTAATGATTTGCTTCCAAGTAAGTGTCTCTTTAAAAAAAAACTAACCGTTTTAAAACAACTGCACTCCTACATTTGGAAACAGGATCTTCGTTTCTGCGTGCATGAATATGACCCAAGACCTAAACCCTGGTTTCTTCTGTCCCTTAAATTTATATGGACACATACATATCAGTTTGAGACACTGTGTCAAAAGCAAAATGGAAGATACAGTGGTACATGAAGCCTATTTGTTTCTAGAGGAGCCAAAATTCATGTTGGACTCATTTTTCTGTCCTGGGAAACTAGGCAATTATATTTGTGACAACTTTCTTCCTTCTAAAATGCCAAAAGTAGCCTTTTCCATTCTCCCTTTCACTGCGAGTAGTTAAAAACAATAGGGTCTGGGCAGGCTGCCTGGCTGTAAATCCCAGCTCAGCCAGTTATGTTGCAATCTTGGGCAAATAGCACAATTTCTTGCTGTGTAGGGTGCTATTAATGGCGGTACTGATCTCATGTGGCTGTTAGGATTATATGAGAAAAAATGGGTAAAGCACTGAAGACAGTGGCTGATACAATTCTATGCCATTTTCAAATTTGCCATGACCACCACTTTTTTGTAGGATAAGATTCTAAATGCCCCAAGAAGCAAAGCATGCCACATAGAAAAATATACATTAGTTGTGGCATCTCATATATGGTTATAAAATACAAAAATGATTTCTTTAACATTTATTTTAGCTTCATATAACTCAATCAGTTTTAGTTATAATCTAACAGACGATAATAGAAATCTGAGGTATAAAACAATGCAAAACTAAAACGTTAATTCAAACAAAGTTTAATTACAATAATAACTTGAAATGTAGCACAATATCACCACCTAGTGAACGTTAAACTGAAAAATTTTAAAAAGGTTTCCCCTAGTTTTCACTAGGGAGCTAAATCTTTTCACTCATATTCTTTCCACTGATATGTAGGACTAAAAATATAATCTTACTAGTACACTGAAACATAATTACAATACCTTTCTTAGGTTTTTCATTTCAAATTATTTCTAAAACAAAATAGAGTTAAAGTAGTTTTGTTCAGAAATTTAAAATATATCAGAGACAACATGTAAATGACCAGAAATATTTCACAATGACTTATCAGTTAATGCAAAAAAATTAGCTCTAATGAAATTATGAACACAAAAGCACAGGGTTGTAAGCCATCTTTGACAGATACTTTTACCCTACCTTGCTACTTGAACCTACGAAAGAATCTCTGGTAAAAAGAAATTTTCCATCCAATGAACAACAAACTTAATTTGTAGGTGTGGGGGATCTATTTCTATGCAGAGTAAGCAATTAGAAAATTTCACGAGTAGAAATCTTTTGACTGACCACTGATTAAAGGACAATTTGTATGAGAGCTGAGTTACTGAATTTGTGTAAGCATAACATATTCTTTTAACTGTCTTGCAAAAAATTGTAAACTCTCACCATTTTGCTCAAGCTCCTTCAATTACTTGTTAGCAATTAAAAAAAAATAACTACATCCAATACAAAAATATCATGCTATAAGTGATCTGGCCAGGCAGGACAAAGACAGATTATCAACTCTCTCTCACCATATTCTTTTACTTCCTTTAATGAAAATCTTTCACAGTGTTACAAAATGAAATAGTAAAAAACTCCCAGGTTTGGGAGTCAGACCAACCTATGTCCATTTAGAGTCAGAGTGGATTTGGGGTAAATCATCAGATTTATTTGACCTTTAGTTTCTCCAGCCATGTAGAAATCAACATCTACAACACAGGCATGAGTAGGACCAAAGAAGACAGTATTCATAAGTCAGCCAGTACAACATATAAAATGTTCCCAGTACTCAACAGAGAATAGCACTTATCATTATTACTATTCCTGTTTCTCCCTCATTTTGTATGTGCTATTACACATGGCTCAAATGAACTGCTCATGTTTCAGGAGGCAAAGCCAACTCAGTATTTATACTGTTCTTGTTAGAATAACACACTTTCTTCTTTTGCCATAAAGGTGACAGACTGAACTAAAATGAAATTAACATTAAATTCAACCAAAGCTTACAAAAAAGAAAAGAAACCCAGCACATTATAGGTATGACTGGATTACCTGTAACAAAATTTCTTACCCTACAAATAATTTTCAATCTTAAAAAATTTATTTTTGAATTTATAGATGTTAAAAAAGATATATTTATCCATTTTATTTTAAGCTTCTCAACTATGTTTTAGTATATTGGAAATGTGTGACACTAGCGTTTAAATGTATATAAAATACCCCAAACAAAAAAATAATTACCAGTTACACCATAGGTATGACTCAACTAACACAGAATATATGTGTAATTGGTTGGCATTTCTTTTCCCATTAAAATCTTATAAACCATCAAAGTTATACTGTTTCTATAACTTAATGACTGAAAACTACTTTTTGTATTTTAAACAGCAATAATCTTCAAATCAAAAACAACAAATATTTACAAATAAATATACATGTAACTGTTACATGCTATAGCAAATGAAATGTTTTAACACAAGGTCAAAAGATGAGGCAGGAAAAGTCAGGAGGCTCTTCCTATGAAATAGAATTCATTTCCTAAAACTAGCTATGGTTATGTGGTTCATTCTTTCTAGGATAGTTACATTGCTGTATATTAAGAACAAGTCCAATCAATATACATTTATGTGGTATGTGTAATAGGACGGTCAAGAACTTCATGAATATACAGCAGGGGATGAGTATCTTTTGAAATAAGGCTGGATCCATGCCAGGCACCGAGCAGATTTAGGACCAGTGTTATTCCTATTTGGAATGAGGACCAAACAACTTGCCTTAAATAACCTGCCTTATAGATACCAAAGCCATAATCAAATATAAAGCAGTAATCCCGATGCTAAGGCATTTTCTACACGCCTGTAGCTCCTAATATTTCCACTTAACTTTTTCACTTTTATCAGTTTCATTAACAAAACTATAATTGCTTCAAAGACAATGCATTTTCATCTAATAAACATGAATTTATGTGACATACTTTATTGGAAAGTGGATCCAAAGTAATAGTCTACTTAAGGGATATAAAGAACAGCTGTAGATACTCATCTCTTCTCTCTAGAAGAGTATGACAAAATAACATCAGGTGGCAATTAACTTCAAACTAGAAATACATTCTATATGAAGCTATTTATTAGAAATAAATGATTTATGATAAGGTATTTTATGACAGGCTAAGTACATTCCAGAAATGACTCTAAGAAGACAAATGTGGCCAAAGAATTAAAATTATTTCTCTTGCCACAATGGAATACTGTGTTTACAGTGAGGAGCACTGTATTTCCGAATCATTTAAATACATAATCAGATGCAATTATAAAAGATATATGGACTTTTGCTAAAAGACGGCATCAATGTGAGGAAGTACACAATATATTATCTACAGGTAATATTGTATCTGTACAATTTTATCTAAGGTAGAAGTAGGTGAAAATGGTTACTTAGTCTAAAACAATTTATGGACCAAATCATCTCATGTGCCCTTTAGTCCTACTCTCAGACCAGGAACAAGTGACTGCAAGTTCTCCAGACTCTCTATCAATCATGTCAGTTTTTCATAATCATTTTTTAATCAAACAATTCAAATGAGTTTATTTTTTCAAAACTCATGACAAAAAAATTTACGGGCTTCTTGGAAAAAGTCCAACACACAAATAAAATTTAAATGTGTGTAAAAGCCAGGATCTGAAGACCTAGGAATAACTGGCTTTTCAAGTAGAATCATTTTACAGGAATGAGTTTGGAATAGAATCTTGAACAATTAAGAAAGCATGATCTATTTTTCTAAGCCTCTCTATTGGTCATACTTTTAAGTTGTCAAATATATTGGGAAATCTACACCAGTCAATGGCTATCTTCTAACTGCCCAAGAAAATTTAATCAAAATTTGTGTCTGAAACACAAAGATATCAGGAATCCCTTTTAAAATAAAAATTACTGAAAAATAAGTTAGTTTAAATGGCAATAATCCTGAAATCATATCTTATTATAAAAACAACAAATATTTGCTCAGCATTTATTTTAACAGCATTTTCTAAAATTTCAAAGACTGCATTTTATGGAAAGCGAAGATCTTTTCTTCTCTTCATGTTTTCCAAAACATTTCTTTAAGTGGAAGTGACTCAACACTAAAACAGTAAACTCTTCAAAAAGCAGTCTTCTTCAGTTATATGGGAATAAAGTGCTTTCTTTCCTTTTGCAAGACAGGTTAGAGTGGAAAGGTTTTCCTCTTAGAAATATTCCTGAACATTAGGACTTGTGTTAGTCCCATCAAACAAGAAAGTTTATTTTTATAAGTTTTTTTTTTTTCAATTTTGGCTTTCAAGATTTGGTTCTCCATTATAATAAATTTGTGGTAAAAGCATTATTTCTTTGAGTATGCTTTTTCATTCTATTAAAAAGGAGTGTGGGTAAAAAATATATGTCCTGCTTTCGTAACTGAATCAATCTCCTAAATTCTGAAAAGACTAGAATTTTCACCTTCACATAATTTGATATTTGCAAATGTAGAATCTATTTAAACCCAAATCTACTATTTAAAACCCAGAGAAAGCACAATCCAACACTGAAAGGAAAGTAATTTATTCACACATATAGCTGTTTTTATATATTAAAAAAAACTTACAAATGTAAACTTAGGTTAAAAGTTCTATTCACAGTTCCTAGTTCAAGTCAAAGTTAACATGCCTCAAAATACAATTTCCTGGAGTGGAATGATGACCCAATAGAGGCACAGAGAACAGTGAACACAGAACCCAAACATATATACACATATCCTACCCCAGCAGATATTCCCTAATCTATAGAATAAACTTAGATGAAATGACTTAACTTTTTTTTTTTTTTGGTACCAGGGATCAAAGTCGGGCCCTTGTGCTTGCAAGGCAGGCTGTGGAACCACTGAGCTAAACCCCTGGCACTCTTAACTGTTAATTTTTTTGGATGAAGGACTCAAATATCAATTTGATTTGCATTTCTGAGAGGGGTCTCGAAAGTCACTTTTTTTTAAGCTTCTCAATGAAGACAATTTTATTTAAAATAAAAGTATTATCTCCTGATAATTTCATGAGGTTTATCTTATGTTTCTCTCTCTCTCTCTCTCTCTCTCTCTCTCATAAAAGATGTCTATCCAGAATCTGCAAATATGCCCTTCTTTGGAAAAGGGGGCCCTCATAGATCATTGTGGATATACTTAAGGATCTCTGACGAGATTACCTGGGATTACTCTAACTCCAATGGCATTGTCTTTACAGGAGAAGGAAGAAGAGATGCAGCAGGCAGCCACAGTAAGATGGAGGCAGAGACTGGGGTGCTGTGTCAATCAGCAAGCAGGTTCTGCCTGGCCCTGAACTGGGAAAGGCCTGGGATAGATCTCCCCTCAGAGTTTCCTGAAAGAATCACCCCTGTAACACTCTGACTCAGATTCTGGTCTCTAAAAATGGGAGGAATTTTTGAAACCACCAGTTTATGGTCACTTCCTATATCAAGCCCTAGGAAATGAATACAGTAAAATGTGTTTCAAGAAAAATAAAAAGAAAAGAAAAACTTTCTTTACAAGGTATTAGAATCAATACCATTTATCTTTGGCCTATACATTTCATACTGGGAATTAGTGCTTCGGCTTCATCATTTCTAGATTTTAAATAAAAACTAACTTGATACCTAGATAAACTTATTTTAACTCATGACTAAAACTAATTTCTGAAACATTAAACACCTTTCAAATCAAGAATGTTGGCTGATCACTTGTAAATATTTTCCAAATATTTTGCTATTTCTTTCTCGGGGGGAAAAAATACAGTATCTAGTACTATGAAGCATTCCAGTTTTCTTAAACATATATGTAAAAAGTTTCCAAGCTTTCCAGTTAACAGTATCAGAGATGCAATAAAACAATTGTAAACACTTTTATTTTCCATCATTTGGGCTTCTGAAGCAGGTTTGGAACTTTCTCATTTCTTTATACTGAACTTCCTTGGATTTGCTCTACACGTTTAAAATATATCTAAAAATCAGATGTGTTCTCAGGATCATTGCAGTCCCTAAAATAAATTCCATAACTTTTACCTATTCAGTATTCCTTTTGGAAACAGTCTAAATATGAAGTCTGAAAATTCAAAACATTCTTGATATTACCACATAAACCTCTGAATATCCTGACTATCTGGCCACTGAAAAGTCTTGTTCAGAAAGATATAAAAAGTTAGGAAATTAACAAATGCATAGCAACTCAGCTCACAAATAAGTCTGGAAGTGGGTGGCAGAGGTATGTTAACCCTATAAATAACATAAGGTAGAATAAAGTAACGGAATTCTAGCAGCTTCTGAGGAACTGTAGAAGTAAACAAGCATACGAAAAACATTAAATTCCAGAAAACTGATTTTGATTTTAATGAGTCAGCTATACTCCAACCAGCAAATATATAGCCTGGAACTAACAAATATTTCACAATATCATGTCTCTGAAAAACTCTTTTCCATACATAGAATGTATAATGTCTATTGTCTGCTAGCAAGTATTTATGAACATAAGTGAACTTCCAAACTAAAAATATGGAGACTGAGGTAATCACAAGAAACTGGGTTCTACGTTTCCAAACTAAGCAAAGAAAAGTCTTAATTCTGGTAGGAGATAGTAGGTGAGGAAAGGAAAAAAAGAGAGTAAAAGAGCAAAAGTAGAATAGCTGAGGAAAATGAAGACAGGCTTCATGATTACTCCGATCACCAATAACAATTCCACCATTAATTACTACAAATGCGCAAAACACTAACACCAGAAGGATGTAGGGCCAAGTTAGAAGAAAGAGCATACTCAGGTTTTTAAAGGACATGCAATACCCCAAAAGAAACCGAAGAATTTTTCTGAATTCTGAAAATGGTCCTTTAACTGAGGGAAGCCTCTCTTCTTTCTTCTTCTGTAGCTCAGTTTTCCAAGCTTCAGTTAACTTCTGTGCAACGACATGTCCTGCACAGAAGACAGTCCAGATGATATTTGTTTGGCGAAACATGAAGCCCCAAAATCCAAGCAAGGCTGAAGTTTTATGATTTCCATAAAGACACATCAAATAGGCAAAAAGAGTAAAAAACATGGATCCTGCTTCCGTATAATAAAGGAAGTTAAAAAAATACAGTGTAGGAAATACTGCCAGTGCCAGTGTTGACAAGATTCTCTGCATACTTGAAGCAGCCTTAGGTAGAAAAATGGTTAAAATTACTTTCATGACAAAACAAATATGCTATTTTTGGTGAAGGAATGAAGTTACTTAAAGAACATTACTTTAACCTTATTTGAACAAAACGTGTTCAATATTGATCTCATGCCTGGCTTTGGAAACATGCATTTATAACAACATTGCCTGCTACGTTTTAGTCACAACTCAGCTCTTAGGCTACTAGAACACACATGTGTGCCAATGCTCCTATAGCTTAAACCATTTTGAATAATTCAACAAAAAGTTGAGGAGTTACTGAGTATTACAGAGTGAACTAAGTTCTGTGGAGAATGCAGAGATGAACAGGGCACCATGCAGGTAATTTGATTTCTCTGAGATGAAGTCTTGGCACCTTCAATAAGCATTCACTTAGCCATCATAACCAATTTCCTCTAAAAGTAACCCTTCAAATCCCTATGCTAGCAAAAATGTAAATGTGTGTAGAGCATTTGTACAACTCTACCCAAAGATGTTACTTTTTATGATAAAATCACAGGATTTTTCAGAAAATAGTAGACCTAGTCTAAAATTACATATCTTCTTTTTGCCTTTCTGACAGACATCATAACTTAAAAGGGCTTTTATCTCCTTAAATTACATCTTTCACTTAATCTAGCTCACCAAATCAGAGCACGCCATTCCCTGGATTAAAATTAAAAGATGCACCATCCGTGACTAGAAAAGTTCAAAAACCTTTCCATGACATACAAAGACATCTTCTAGGGAACACATGCACACACATGTGTAAGGACATTCTTGACTTCAACCCCATCTAAATCTAATTTATAATTCTGTAATTTTGAACAGTAATTCCCTGATCCTTATTTTTCCACGTCTTTCTTCTTCCTTTGCTTATGTTGTTTTTTTGCCAGGATTTTTCCCACCCTTAAGCCCTCTCTGTGCACTGTGCTTCAGCTCTGGTGCCATCTTCTTTGGGAAACTCAACCCAAGGCCACCCACTCCCCTGCCTCCCCATTAGGCTGCAGTAAGTACTCTTCAGCTCCTTCTTGGTGTCCCGTGTGTCTTCACTGCATCATCGGTCCACTTCCCTCTCATAACTGCTACTATGAGAACCATTCTTTCTGAGAATTCTATTTTATTATTATTATTATTCCTACTTAACAGATTAAGTCATAGACATGGTTTTCTGCAAAGGTAACATAAGCAGTAGAGGCGGGGACAGCACTCAAACTCAAGCCCTCCACTTCCAGGGCCTGCATTCTTACTATAAAATTTCCCAAGTAAAGTTTGTTTCCTCTAAAGAAAATGTAAATTCCACAGGAAAAGGTCCTAGAAATGTTCTTAGCTCATGAAATAACCTCAGCAAATATTTATCAAACCTGTCTGCAACTCACTAATATCTTTTTTAGATTCATCTTCACAAGATATACACAGATACTAATTGTTTAAGATGCGTTCCTCCAAATACCCTAAAACCTTCATAACTGTGAACCCGAATACACATACTCTCGTGAAAGAAACATACCTTGTTTCTGGGTTGCACCTTTCGGAAAAGCAAATACAGCAAATAGAAGTTGCCAACACTAAAGAGAAGATTGACGAATCTGAGCATTCCAATGGAGCAGACCACATGTTCAGACCATCCAAAGATCCAGCTGGCAGGCTTGACCACTCCCACTGACACCAGGTATAAGCCAGGTAAGGTAGTAATCATGGGATCCCACTTAAAAGGAAACACCAATAATGAAACAAAAGCAAGAGGTAACAGACAGACATAAATATGCCAAGCCCAAGCTTCATCTGTGCCAACAATCCAGAATCTTCACAAGTTATTCTAAGACATGGTTAAGTAAGTTTTGAAGATCAGATATCTCCTTGTGGACAAGTTTTTGTTTTTTGTTGTTTTGTTTTGTTTTTTTGCCTCTGCAACTGTTTGTAATTAAGGTGCTAGCATCCAATAGACAATAATTTAAAATTTCTCTTTTCCAAGACTTGATTTTTAGAAAGCCTGCATTTTGGGGACTAAATTGCAAAGCCTCCAGTTTTACAAAGCACATAAACCTTGGTTGAGAGAAAGAAGTGTTGAGACTGGACCACAGGCTCTATGGTGACACTGTGTCTAAGTTTAGGGGTTGTGCTAAAGCCTCTGTGTTTAATCTTGCAATGCAACCTGTTAGTACTTTTGCAGGTGAGCAGCCTGACACTTAAGACATTCTCAAGGCTTTGAAACCAACTAACAAATAACAGCACCAAAATTTAAAATCAGGTCTTTTTCTAGCATATTTTATATTTCTAGGAATGGTATGTTTTTGAACCCGCACCTATTGATATGGGCAAAACTTATTTTAAAATGATGCAATCTGACTGGTTGAGTTTATCCAGCCAACAGCAGGTTCTTAACAGTATTCGGGAAGAAACGAGTGTCAACTGTTAATGGCAGCTGCAGATCCGTGCCTGTCCCCCTCCCAAGCACGGCGGGAAAGGCCACACGGGCAACAGAGAAGCTTCCTGGCCTTCCCAAGGCCCACTGCTGGGCCTCCTCGCGCGGGGCCGGGGAAGGCGAGCTGGAGCAGACGCCGTCAGGCGCCACTACTTACTCCCTCAACTCCTTCCTTCTCGGGAGTCAGACCTGCGGCTCGAGCACTCATTAGCAAAGGCCCCCCAGGTCTCAGACGGGGATCCCCCAGCCCGAGAGATCTGGAAACGGGAGGGTGGCGGGGCGCTCGTGAGTCGGGGAGCCGGGGAACCCACCTGCGCCGGGGAGAAGCGGCCCTCGCAGAAGCGCTGCGCCTGCGGCAGGTGGAAGACTTCGTCCATGTAGGGCTCGCGCAGCGCCCCGCTGAAGGCGGAGAAGAGGAGGCAAGACACCAGGAAGGTGCAGCTCAGCGCCGCGGAGAAGTAGTACCCCTCCAGCTGCGCCGAGCCCGCCCCCATGGCCGCGGTCGGGGGAACCCAGGCCCCGAAGGTGCAGCCCGCCAAGCCGTCTCGCAACTCAGGCTCGAAACGGGCGCGCAAGTCGGGACTGACCGGAAGGGACTCAGCACAGCCGGAAGGCAAAGGATGCTGGGAGAGCACGGGCCGGAAGAATCGGGTCGCTGTTTCCGGAGTGACGAGTTTCTGTGAAGGACCGGGCTGTTTCCCGTCAATAACGTCGCCCGAGGCGCACAGTGCAGTTAGAGTTTCCGGGCGGGGCGGTGCGAGGCTTGGAAAAGAATCCAGTCTCAATCTCCAGTGGTTTTCTCTGATCGTTCCCATGTGCGACCACAAGGTGGCGGTACGTACCCGCGTTTCCGACTTATTTCTGTTTTTCTCTCTCCGTTGGTCTGAATTGCTAAAACTTGCAGTCAGCAGACACCTCGCTCCATTAACGCTGGGTGGTGGGAGCAAAGGCTGACGCATTCAGGTTAAAGCTGGAAGGACCCGAAACCTGTCTTAGTGCGTGAGAGGGTCCTTACAGCACGCGGGCGCTCTCCAGCAGGCCCTACGAGGCCAGCATCTGTATCGCACCCCGACAGCCGACCTTTCTGCTCTGGAGGAGTAGCAGGAGCAATTATTTTAGAATTTTGGACGTTTTAGCGAGGAACGGTGCTGTGTGTGTGTGTCAATGTGTTAAGATTCTCTGTTGCATCGCCCAGTGTTGTGCATGAGCCTCTAAACGTCGCTTATGTTTGGTATCCCCCACATGGTTTTCCCAGAGGTATATATTTTATTGTATAGATTTCACACATTCCTGTGTTCTAATACTGGAGGTGGGAGGCGAGTGACAAGTTGTTTGAGGAACGATGAAGATAAATTAAAGTTTGTAATTTTTCCCTAAGCATAGTTGGCAATGTTTTGTATAAAAAACCCTCTGATAACCTCTGCCCGCTGGCCTCCTGCTGAAAAATATCAAATAGAAGCCAGTAGTTGTGTAGGGCTACAGACTTCAGGGTTCTCAGCTCAATTCTTTGTCTGGGTCAAGTTAATTCAGTTTGTCTTAGTTCTCAAAGCTGACTGAGTCCCTAAAGAGACCCAGCTATTTTCTCAATAATCAGAGGAACTCACGGGAATCGGTTCGTGTTAACTTTTGCTCTGATGTGATGCTTAGCCTTGTCTTCTGTATTATCTCCTGTTTGATTATTTCGTCCCTGCTGTACTTAACTGAGATCATCTCCAGATGATTCAGTCTTTCAGACACTAGAAGTACTGTAATTGGCCACAAACTCAGCAAATCATAAAAGAAAGTGGTGGGCCAAAACATATATATGTGGTTAAAAATTATGGCAGTAAAAGACACAGTGTCATTAACCTTTTGAAAACGTCTTCACTTAGAACATATCCCTTCATTCTGGCCAATTTCTGAAGTATTTCTGAAAGTCCTCTTCCATGAGCGTCTTTACCAGGTGTGATAAAAACAAAACAAACGAACTGCTAATGATGTGGCTGACAAGTAAAACCCAACAGAAAAACAGGCTTGGAAAAAAAGGACAGAGGGTCCACATATTTTAAAGGATTTACATAAAGCTAGATGTTTGTGCTCTACATTTCTTTGCAAAATAACTGCTACCAAGATTTTAAAATTAAATATCTGACACCTATATGCTTCTTCAAGTTAATTGAAGAGTTTGAAGGACATGTGAGGGTTTAGAACTTCTTTATTAATAAGTGATCTTTATTAATAATCTACCTGTCATTAATAGGTATTGATTAATAGATTATTAATAATCTATGTTAAAGAAGAAGCTGAACATACAATAAGTGATTTATCAGAAATTGCAAAGAAAATTAGTACCTACAAGGGGTAGGACTTAGAACACCAGACCAAGAGGAATAAAATAACTCTGGTCTTAGGGTTTAAAAGAATCAGCAATTTATATTGAACTGAGTGTGTGATTAGCTTCAATAAATTTATTTTTTTGCTCATTGAGTTTATTGGTACATTTTAGGTATACAGTACAGTTACATTCATCATTGGGATCTTGTACCTTTACATGACAGGTCTTGGTTCTCATTTTCTCCCTACACCCCTGCCCTCCCTTCACCCCCTCCTCCCTTCCCTATTTACAAATACTTTATTTCCGTTTTTTTCATTTTGTCATGTTTTTTTCCTTTTCCCTTATTACCTTTCCCCTACGCTTCCCATTTCCCCTCACTTTTAGCCCTTTCCTCCCTATTTCACATTGTCAATTCTCTCATTAGGATCTTATGTACCATTACAGTTTTTCACACCAGAGAAACTATTTGGTATTTACACATGTGTGACTTATTTATTTCACTTAGGAGTATGTCCTCAATATGTATCCATTTTCCTATGAATGACTCGAATTTCTCATTCTTTGTTGCTGAATAGTATTCCATTTTATAGAAAAACCACATCTTCTTTATCCAGTTTCCAACTGATGGGCAAATGGGCTGTTTCCAAGTTTTTCCCTATTACAAACTGTGCTGCTATAAACATAGGTGCACATATATCACTGTGATATGATTCTTTTAATTCTGTTGGAAGTATACCCAGCAGAGGATTAGTTAGATCAAATGGAACCTCTAATCCCAGCTCTTTGAGGTATCTCCATATTGATTTCCATAGTGGTTGCACCAGTCTGTACTCCCACCAACAATGGAGAAGGGTTCCTTTCTCCCCACAACCCCGCCAACATTTGTTATTGGTTGATTTCTTGATAGCAGCCATTCTTTGTCGGGTGAGGTGGCATTTCAGTGTTGTTTTCATCTGCATCTCTCGAGTGACCAGTGATGTGGAACATTTTTTCATATATTTACTTGCTGCTTTTATTTCTTTGTCTGAGAAATGTCTGTTCATTTCAGATGCCCATTTTTGAATCGGGTCTTTATATTTGGGGGGGTCTGACTTTTTTGAGTTTTTTATATATTGTAGATAGTAGTCCTTTGTCTGAGGAGCAGCTGGTAAAATTTTTCCCCACATTGTAAGTTGTCTTTTAGTTCTGTTAATGGTTTCTTTTTGCAGTGCAGAAGCTTTTTAATAAGATGAGATCCCAGTTGTTGATTCTTTCTGCTAGTTCCTGTGCTACTGAGGATTTGTTCTTAAAGTTTTTTCCTATGCCAATGTCTTCAAGGGTTCTGCCTAACTTATCTTCCAGCAAATTAGTGACTCTTTTTAAATATTTAGATCTTTAATCCACTTGGATTTTAGTTTAGTGCATGGTGAAAGATAAGGGTCTAATTTTAATCTTTTAACCTCAATAAATTTAAATTTAAATTCCACTATTTCTGTCAACCAAGTGGACTAATATAGGTTTCTTCTTCGAAGAGTTTCACTTTACAGACTGATTGTATCATAATTTGCCAGAAAGCATTGTAAAAGTAAGATTCTAGAATGCTCTCTCAGAATACTTAATAGTTATTTTCATATTTAGAAAACACCAATGTGAAGTCCATTACCTAAGGAATTAAGAAGTCCTATGGACCAAATAAAGATTTTTTTTACTTTCAGGTTATCACATATAATGCAAACTAAAACTTCTTTCCCCAGCTCTGCCTCTAAATCAAGACTTTACACTAAAATAGCTACCTCCAGGGATTTTAACAAAGGTACACATTATTAGAGTTATCTTTTAAAATTGGATCGCTATTAATATTTAACTTTAAAAATTCAAATCCTCATTTTCCATAGATGTTTAAGAAGAGCTGTCATCAGGATCAGCAATCTGATCATTGTTAAACATCAAATTATTCATTATGTGTTATCTTCATGAATTATAACAGGAAGTTATGGCAAAATGTGAAATTTCTGATTAGGTTCTAAGGATAATTTTTAAGGATTTTTACGAGCAAGAAACATCTTTGGTTGAATCCATTAGGACTTCTGTATTTATTATTGCTCTCACACTGTTAATTTGGTGAACTTCACCTAACACTGCATGGGGCCAGGGATTTAGTTCAGTGGTTCCATTGCCTGCCTCACAAGGTCCCAAGTTCAATCCCCAGTACTGCAAAAAAAACAAACAAAAAATATAACACTGCATGTACTTCATTGTGTGAAATACCCTCTACTAACCAGGAGACTTCCCCAAAGATTAAGTATAACTGAGGAATTTGTTCAAGTATCCGTTTGCTTTGAAACGTTAGCCCAATTAATATCCTGCTTTGAATTCATACTTTTGCACTTGTTGCTGAACAAAAGATTTAGAAAATTGATAGTCATAAAGTGATGGTTTACTCAGTTCTAGGTGACAGTTACAGCAGGGTCCTGCACATTGGGCCTGAATTCTAGGTAATAATTTCCAAAATGGAAGTTTAGCCTTAAGGTCAATATGTACATAGTATTTAGAAATCCGCATTGTTTTATTAATGAAAAGGAAACAAAAGTCTAGTACAAAATTTTTAGTAGCTATTTTACTGAAAATGATGTGAAGCTTTGCTGTCTCCAGTCTTTTTGACATCAGGGACCAGAATTACGGAAGACAGTTTTTCCATGGATGGTGTTAGGAGTCCGTCCCCCTTTTCAAAGAAGCTTTCCAGTGATATTTGTTTTGGGGTCATTTTTAGCTAGGGTTAGCTTGCTGTGACTGAGACAAGTCTTCCTTGCAGGAAAGAGGCACAGATGGAAATGATAAAAGTAACAGGCACGCCACTCATAGACTAGAGTAAGTGTCGGATTCTGGCTTAGAATCTGCTGCCAGAAACAGCTGTACACTTGAACTGCACCCGCTGACTCAACACTAGAAAGCCTGCTGTCACATGTAACTCACTTGTTGGCGATCACTGATAGGACTTTGATATGAGTCTGCTAGCAGTTGATTTACTATGGTCTCTTTGCAGTCAACCTTTCTGCTCATGTTCATCTGTATTTGCAGCCACTCCCCAGAGCCAGCATCACTGCCTCAGCTCTACCTCTCATCATCATGCACTAGATTCTCGTAAGGAGCAGGCAGCCTAGTTCCCTCCCATGTGCAGTTCACAGTATTGTTCATGCACCTGTAAGAATCTACGCCTGTGGCTGATCTGATGGGAGCTCAGATGCAGTGGGAGGGACCAGCAGTGGCTGTAAATGAAGCTTCTTTCCCTTTCCTGCTGCACTGCACCACTCACCTTCTGTTGT